GATTGCCATTAGTTCCTTCAGGTGTTAACATATATACAAAAAATTTATCCATTATGGGCCCAAACTTTAACTTAAGAAGATTCACATTCATATTTTATTCTCTTAGTATTTTGAAAGTTTCTCTTAAACCTTTTATGCGTTGCTCATGCAATTAACTTTTGACTAGTACATCATTGATATAGACTTCAATATTTTTTCCTTTTTTGGTTCGTAAATATTATAACCATCATTTTTCGGTAGGTGACACCTGCATTCTTAAACCCAAAGGGTATTATATTATAACAAAACACTCAATCTACTATGATGAACACAATGTTTTTAGCAATGATAGGGTGCAATTTTTTATTAGTGGTACTCAAAAAATACATCCACACAACTCTTGATCAAGTAATTGATGATTGCATTTATGAGTGTGTTGATCCACGATAGAGAATAGTTGTCTTTTAGACGAGCCAAGTTGAGGCTGGTTAAGTCAATGCATATTCATTATCCGTTGTTTAACTTCTGAACCATCACTAAATTAGTTACTTAGTTTGAGTACTGCACTTATTTAATGTAGTATGTTGCTAACAACTTATGGAATCTTCTTAAATTAGTTTCGCTAAAGTGATCACTACTGATTTTATCTTTTGCTTAATGAGTTGAGATTTTGGGTTGATTTAGTGAGTGGCAGATGATATTGATGAAGACTCTTGACATCTTCTCAATCGACAAGGTAAACAAATCACGGTACTTGTAAAGCAAGGTGACATGATCATTGATGTGTTAAAAATATAATGTGTTATTTCTTGTGTTTTCTCTGTTATTTGTGTTATTTTTATATTTTTATAGGTCATATTTGTTTGTATATATAATATATAGGTTGAAATTCAACAAGGGGGAGCAATAGGAGCAAATTTTATGCTAAGTGCCAAACCCATGCCTAGGCACTCATGCCTTGCACCAAGGTGCGTAGACCAGTTTCCCATTTTATCAATGCTATAGAGAGCATGGAAAGTAGGCACCCAATATGAGCACCTAGGAACCTGAAGAGGAGAGCATCCCTTCATACCAATAGATAGAGCTTGAAATTAAGCACTCACATCTGGTTCCACAGGAACTCAACCAGGAAACACAGTACCCTAGGCCAGCGCCTAAGTGCCCACAATCGACTTATGGGTTGTTTGCATAGTTTCAACATATTTTAGCGGTTCGTAAGCATAATTTTGCTAACTTCAAAGGAAATTGGCTCCTTTCTGTTACATTTTCACTTAGCTCCTATGAGAGATAGAAGGCAAATGAGTATTTTCTAAAGTGATTAGTTAGTGATTTACTCTATTATAAGTGTGTGTAAGTGCATGTAAGTGGAGTACATTGTAGAAGAAAGAATTCTTATGGAGAAAATGAAGATTCAATTAGATTTGATCATTCTTACTTTTGTGTAAACTTGATTTTAATTTTTTTTAAAATAAAGTTTATTGTGTGTTCATCTCTCTTGTTTAAGAAGGAGAACTTTCTCGCATTTGGATTGTTATTCTGAGAAACTTAGAGATATCCATGTTGTATGATTTCTATAAATTTATTGGAAATAATATTATGCTAAGTTCACATGCTAAATTAAATTTATAAACTTTCATTCTTTCAAACTAAACCTTGGATTAGTAAAATAGAAATTTTATAAACTTTTAACCCTCAATCTCATTATCAGTTGGATCGATACATGGACTCCTAATTCTATTTATTAATTGATCGACACATATACTTACGTGATTTATACGTGTTCCACTGCATCGTGGATCAATCATCAATGCGACCTAAATTAAAAGACATGCTTAGTCAAAAAGATTTACTAACTTCCCTAGCCATGGTAGGGATCTTTATGATCGCTTCATTGGTTTCCAAGTTGTTCCCTCCATAAGCATTTAGTTCTAGGGCTTCCCAGTTTATGATACTAATAGTTTGCAACGTGCAAGCCTTGATGATGATTACTTCACATTTGTCAAGGAAATTCACCACCAAGTGGTAGGTTGAGACAACTACTAGTTTGAAAGTCGTATGAGGGTTTGACTGAAGAGGAAATTTATTTTGTTGGTGAGTTAACTGTGATGAAGTTAGCCATAGCAGTAAACTATCTATCATCATTGCCCTAGGAAATAAGTAGAGTTAAAACTCCTAGTATGTCATTCCTTTCACATGAAAATTAAACAACAGGACAGGCATGGTTAAAAGAAGTGTAGTCCTTTGGTTAATCTTGTCAAATATAGACTTGAATACGATATTCACCAAACACTTGGTGTTGATGAGAATACTATCACTTTGGAAATTGACAATAAAAGTTGTCACCATGACAGTGTTATTGTAGGGGCGGGTTGCATTTAGGACGTAGGTCTTCCTCTATGAAGGCAATGAGCGGATGATGCACAACTCGCTATTTAGACAAGGCTATCACACATAGTTTTCTCGAGTGTAATCTCTCCAGAATTGTCTGTTGAGTGACCGCAACTCTGTCTCCTTTGAGAATGGCTGAAATGACATCTGTCATGTGGATAACATGGGGTGAGCAGGTTTGTTACGATTTTCTTCTGATGGAGCTTTCCCTTCTACGTGACTTCTTCTGGTGCTACAAACCCTTATAACTTTCTAGCCTTGATCAACTCCTCGATCGAGCTTATGAGGTGACGACGGTCCTCCGTTTTTTGCATGTGGTTCCCATGATAAGTATAATACCCTTTGGATGTCGGAAGAAATCTCTAGCTATCATCGAAATGGCTTTTTAGAAGTAGACTTTGTTTTAGATGACTTCAATTACTTTGACCATCGAGACTCCCAACAAAATATGTTAGGGGTTCTCATAAGTTGGAGGTGAAGACCAATATTTTTTCTTTGAATCACACCAAGGATCAAATTGTTTGGAAGGATAGAAAATAGGGGAAGAGAGAGAGGGATAAAGAGATGGATAGTAGAGCAACTTAGCTAAAAACCAAGGTTTGAGGATTGTCCTAATCAGGTTCTCCGAATGGGAGGATACAAATCTTGCTTACATTTAATACCTCTTATTATACGAGTAGCCTTTACAAAATGACATATACTTGTACAATTTCTAGATTTTTAGACGTATAAGTGTCTGATTTAGTCATATCCCATCTAAAGAATTGGGCACTTCGAGAAATCTTCTTCACATTGACCTCGTCAATATGATGACGAGATTTTATGTTTCTGACGATTCTTGTGCTTGGTCTCGCATAGTCGGCCTGTCGTGGTCAGCCTCTCATAATTAGTCTCTTGTGATCTATTATCATAGTCAGCCTCCGTTGGTTGACTTCTCGTATGAACTTGATCTCTTGATCTTTTGATCTCTTAAACTTATTTGCCCTGTCGACCTCCTACAAACGGGTTAAATGTAAACTATTTGGTCTCTGTTTGTTAGAGCAACCGCTTTTTGGCAGTACACTATTATTTTTAAGTAAAGGATGGATTAAGCACCTAGTTTAAAATTAAATTTGATTCAATAAACTCCAAATGTTAGGAGAAGCAATTTGCATCTCACCAAAAGAGAAAGATAAGTTAGGATTCCCATAACGGATCAATAAAATTTTAAATTGATTAATTTTGAAAATGACCCACTGAAAACTATTTTATCCAAACTAACCTCATTTTTGTGTTGTGCAAGCATTGGAAAGGCTCCTTCCCAATGCTTGCACAACACAACAAAAGTGTTATTTTGTAAAAAATTGTTTTCAATGGGTCATTTTCAAAATAAATCACCCAATATTTTTAGGAAATAAAATTGATCCGTGTCTGTCATCCTAATTTATCGTTATCTTGTGGTGGAAAAATTATTCCATACGGACACCGCATGCAGAGATACTTACAGTGTCTGATCTCCACTGTCGGTCACCACCGCAAATGTGTATTTCGGTGGAAAAATTATTCCATACGGACACCGCATGCAGAGATGCTTGCAGTGTCCGATCTCCACCGTCGGTCACCACCGCAAATGTGTATTTCGGTGGGCTCCACTTTCAATTTTTTCTTTTTCTTTTTTTTTAAAAATTAGATTGTGGATGTCTATGCAGATTTTTGAAGATTTATATACATAGCCCTCAATTCCTATGTATTTACACATCTAACAAATTTACAGATTTGATAAATTCTTAAGAAAAGCACTAGTTTTCTGCAAAACAAAAGTTCCGCCGTCTATGCAGATTTTTCAGCCTTATTATCGTGCGCCCACAACTTAAGGACAACAAAATCATAAACGTCATATTTTTACTTAATTATGTATCATAAATTCATAATCATATGATTCATTACTACAATTAAAAACCAACTCCTTATCATATAATTTGTCGATAAGCCGATTAAAAATAATCTGCCAATCATATGATTCATTACTACAATTAAAAACCAACTTCTTATCGTATAATTTGTCGATAAGCCAATTAAAAATAATCTACCGATAAGTAGTTATGTGTGATGGTTATTACAAATTTTTATTTTTTGAAAAAATCAGACTACTACTACTAGTAAGCTGCTACCGCACTTAGATAGATGTGGTGTGAAAATGTTATTTTTAGTGTTTTGAAAATGCATAAGTTGTCAAAACGTAATTTATACAAACAGCTCTCGTGCATTTTCAAAACGCCGCCTCACCAACACCAAATAAGCCGCCCCAAACCGATCCTAATTTTCGTAATAAATCATATGATTATGAATTTATGATACATAATTAAGTAGTTAATCTATTAAAACAATTCTATATATTTATTCATTTATTATACTCATTATTAATGCCTTAACATTTCCTTAAAACCATCCTTTCAAAACTCTGTCTTTATTTTTTCAATCAAATCAAGTTAGGCCTTGCCTTCCCTGCCTACCACGTGTCAATTACATCCCTTCCAAAAAAAATGGTATTTTTGTAAAATAATCTCTGTAAATTTATAAATTTCTTTTTTTTATTGGTATATATATATAATATATGGCCTTTAATAAGCCCACATCTCTCGTCGTTCATTGAAATGGAAGAACATGAAAATTCTTCCTCTTCCTCTTCCAATAGCAGCAGCCACCCTCTTCTTCCTTCTTCTTCTTCTTCTTCGTTCTGCAACAGGAAGGTTTTAAGCACAGATCTACGGCTAGGATTGAGCCCTTCATCTTCTTCATTTCAGGAAAATTTATATAATTGGAATTATTTTTCTTTTTAGTGTCATAATATTCAACTTTTGTTGTCCAGCAGTATGAAATTTTCTGCTTTAATATTTTAATTTTTATTTTATTTCTATGAAAGTTCCATTTCTCTTAGTCAAAGTTATCCTGTTTTCTATTTTTCATTGTTTTTTCTTAAAGTTTTAGAGGAATAAAGGCATTTACATACACACCACTAGGGGTGTAAGCAGAGTTTGTGTTTGTGTTTGGTTCGTTTGAAATTTAGTTTGTTTGAAATAAGCTTGTGTTCGAAATTATTTGTGAAGTCACTGTTCGCGTTCGTTTCTTAACGAACGAG